AGTTTTGTTTGTATTTTCATTGTAGTTTACACAGGAATTTCTTTCTGCTGTTATTTTTTAGATCTTATAAGCAGGTAAACAGATGATGTTGAAAACATTGGTGTTTATTCTAAACACCCATTACATACTAAAAATTTAATATTTCATTGATATTTTATTTTTCTATTAGGTACACATTGCTTAAGGTAGTAAAACTTGTTAAAGTTGATAATTCATCAATAGAAATAATCCTTAAAAATAAATGTGGGCATTATACAACCCCCATCATGTGCCTTTCAGAAAATGTACTGCGATGCTCCTAGATTAGTGACCAGGGTGGGTAGAATCTCACTCTGTCTAGCGCTGTGCTCATCTGGTTGCTGTTTCTGAACAGGTTCCCAGACCCCACAGCGCTAGAGACTGAGAGTGACCCTCCCCACTGCAGTACAAGGGCTGTCCCAATGCAGAAACTATACCAGGTAGCCCCCTCCCTCCTTCCTCCGTGCCCTATTGCCGGTGTGGCTGAGAAAGACACCAATAGCTCGGAGGTAGAGCTGTGCTCTGCGAAAGCACCTGCAAACGCAACCCCAGCAGTAGCGAGGGGCGACTCTACACTGCCCCCGACAATGCAACCGAGCGAGGCTGGGCTTGCCTGGGAATGTGAGCCGGTCCCTACAGTTCCCACACAAAACAACCCGGGAGCGTCGCCTCACTTCTCATGGCCACATAAAATGTTAGGGTCTCTATCTCATCACCAAGAGCGGAATCAAAAGAAGCACTGTGACCAGGTTGTAGTAGAAAGAAAGTTTTTATATACATTTTCTATGCACAGCAAATATGTATGTCCCCGCCCCACCCAGGTAGCAAACTTGTGTTTCTGTGCTGCGTAATGATCCCCTCCCCTGAGCCCCCGCCATGCCCTCCGCTGTGTCCTAACCCCAGCTCGGGGTCTCCTGTTGGCCAGATGCACTGGTGAGAGGCATTTTAGCGGCCACAATGTTCGACGCCAATTCGACCGTCCTCAGTAGCGTGGTGAGAGCTCCTCTCTCAGCTAGCAGGGAGGGCTGGAGGCGGCATCCTCAGTGTCCCACGGCAGGTTCTGGGTGGAGCCTGGGAAAGGGAACAAGGTGGCCGGAGAGGCCAGGATGTGGCCAGGCTCACTGGTCAGCGCCACTGCTGAGATCTGCGTGGTCAGATGGGTGGGTGCTTGGGGTGTCCCCGGCACAGGTGGCAGTGACCTGCACCCGGGAGGATGACAGGGAAGTACGCATGCGCAGGCAGGGCCCGGGCCTGGCAGGGCACCATGCCCAGTGCCAGCCCTCCTTGGTGAGAGTCAGCCAGCCCTCTGGTTCCCGAGAGCAGAAAGCATCCGGGGCACCGTCGGGTCTGGGATTTAGAT